AGATCCGAGGCTCATTTCAGTGTCAGCGTGCTCAGACGATGACGTATTAGGGTCTTGGTCAGCGGTGCTAGGCTGCACGCTTCTAGCAGACATTCGCGCTAGGTTGAGGTCTTGCGTAGTTGCAGCTGTTCTCTTAGACCTCCTAGTCCCTAGGGTGGTTGCGGGCTCTCTAACAGTGGCTGTGTTTAGGTTGTTTACGTCTTGTCGGCTTCTTTTACTTGCGTCCGTAGGTGTTCCCACAGGCTCAGTAGTATTAGCTATGTCGCCGTCCGTGATTTCAATGGAGGTTTCGACCGTGCTGCCTGTCTGTCTTCCTCTAGCTGGCTGCATTGCCTCAGAAGCACGGTCACCCGCCTCCCTAATGACTTTTAGTTCCCCCTTTGTGGGTTGGATGAGTCGGCCGTTCGCCCTCGTTGGGGCTGCTGGGCACTTGTCGTGGGTTGCTGGAAATGGGCCGTGGCAGTTGGCGCACTTTGGTGTGTCTTTGCATTGTTCTCCGTGTGGTCCCTGGTGAGTTGCCGTTGTTTTGCTGCATGTCGTGCAGCGGGCTGGCCTTGTGCAGCGGCTGGTTTTGCAGTACCCTAGGCAGCCTGGGTCGTGCAGCATTGCAGGTGAGTTCTTCTTTATCTCGTGCGCGTAGTCGCCCGTCCCAAATAGGCGAAACGATCGTACGGGTCTGGTGAAAGATATAATCCAGGTTGTCCTTCCCTCCGTGGGTCCATGTCTGGAGGGCCGGCAGCTCGCCGGTTCGATCCCTGTCTGGGACAGAGCTTCGCTGACTATATCGTCTATTGTGGTGGGTATACTTTCCCCTGTGATAGTGCGGTATGAGCTTTCTACGCCCTGGACTGCATAGTTCACCCATCGTTCAGGTAGTCTTGCGCTCTCGCCCTCTACCGCTCGGATCATGAGTTCGCGATTCTCCTGCCCCATAAGCAGGGCCTTGATTTTGTCGTTGCGGGGCGTAATCGCCCAGCCAGTCTTGATATGTTTTGCCGTAGGTATGTCGGAGGGGGTAATTTCCTTAATCGCCTTTACAATAGCCATGCGGGCCGCAAATGGTGATGCCCGTTGGAGCCGAGCCTCCGCTCCAACCGCTATAAGGATACGGTTGTCAGTGTTTAGAGGTCGCCTAGGAGTTTGAGCTAGCTGCTTTGGGGCAGCCGTGGCCGCTTTCGTCGTAGCGGCCCCCCTTGCTGGGGGGGTTGGATTTTTCAGGGTCCTAGCTACGTCCGCCCAGGAGCGGTGCGTAGTGTCAGAGTCGCTCCCTGAGTTTGGGGGCGTGATTAGGGGCGTGATTAGGGAGGTGTTAATAGCCCTTAGCACCTTCTGTTGAAGGTCCTTAGCCACACGGGCTCCGTCTGGGTCGGTGTACTTCCCAAGGCATCTGTCGACAGCTGTCGCTAGATCCGTTATGATGGAGTGGTGGAGGTTTGTAGCTTTTTGGGCTGCCTGAATCCGCTGGCGGACCGCTTCAGAGACAGCTTGATTGTAGGAGGCAGACTTGCTATCAGTCAGGTAACTCAGTTCGAACTGACTGAACTGACTGCCAAGACTCAGTTCAGTCAGTCAGTTCTTGAGGCAGCTGGACGTCAGTCCAGTCAGTTCAGAAGCCTCCAGACTGACTGAACTGACTGACGTTAGACTGACGTTAGCTGTTTTTAAAGCAGTATTTTAGAGTTGTGAAAGCCACATTTAGTGCGGCTTCGAAGCCGCGCTAGTCCTAGATATAAAGACACTAATCCTATATAAGTTAAAGCATCTAGCTTTAAGCTAATTAGAGTTTGCGGAAATGCGCTACCCGGTGCGCACCTAGTAAGCCTTTCGCGTCGCGTCGCGTCGCGTCTGCTATACACACGACGCTAGACTACTGTTGCCATAATACTTCTTGGTGTACTTCATGTCTACTCCCTCTAATTCAGGCCTTCGCCGCCTTGTAGAATGCGACAAGCGCAATTCTCCTCTACCATCGCTATCAAACGCGCCTACTGTTGGCGATACTGCGAGCGAGGCCCAGGCTGATGAGCCCTTGGCAGTACAGGCGGACTTCCCCAACGACGGCGACGACGACGACGACGACGACAATTACGACGGGCTTGATTTTAAGCGTGTGCCGTATCTTGAGCGGCGCCAGGTTGAGCGTAATAGTCGCGGTGGGCCAAAAAGCTGGATCTACCGCCACGGCTGGGCCGTCTGGCACCGCAAGTACAAGAAAAACTACTGGCTTTGCCGGTACTGCCATCAACGACGGAAGCAGGAGGCTTGCTACGAGGCTGACAGCACTACAAACGCCGGCCGACACCTCTCAAGCAACAAGCCTGGACACTCACACGGACCTAACGGACCTGTACCAATTGCTAGCCGGGAGGGCAATATTATGGGCGCGCTCGCAAAGTCCCAAGTATATATTATGAGGTCTAAAGGGATAGAAGTATCGCAAGAGGTAGCAAACGAGATAGCAGCAAGCTTTTCAACCTCTCGATTTCAGGACGCGCTGAAGGACTGGGTAGTCGCGGACAACCAGAGCCTTCGCGTAATAGAAACGCCGCAGTTTCGAGCCATGATTGCGGCCGTGAGCCCGCTAGCCGAAGCTCTCCTTTGGCGTAGCCACTAAACGCTCCACGATCATATTATTACTGAGTACAATACATACATACTAGCTGTTGCCAACTACCTTCGCGAAGCCCGGTCGCTTATACACGTGTCATTCGACAACTGGACTTCAACTGGTGGGCAGTATGCTTTTACTGGCCTCTGCGTACATTACCTTAACAGCGAGGGCAAGCTAGTTGACCACCTGCTTGGGTTGCCTGAGCTACACGGGGCGCACACTGGCAATAATATTGCCGCTGCAGCAACAACAATACTTCGGCTATTTGGCGTTGACAACGCGAGGGTTGGGTACTTTGTGCTTGACAACGCAAGTAACAATGATACTGCAGTTGAGTCCTTAGCAGAGGAGTTTGGCTTTATCGCAAGCGAGCGGCGGCTGCGGTGCTGCTGCCATATACTCAACCTAAGCGCACAATTAGTAATTTGGGGCAAAGACCGTAGCGCGTACGAGAATGAAGCCGCACACCTTGAGGAAGAGGAGAAGTACATGGATGAGTGGCGCAAATACGGTCCTGTTGGCGTCCTCTTTGACGTGATTGCGTCTATCTGTACGCCTCAAACTCGACAACTACTAGAGCGCCTACAGTGCGAGGAGGCAGAGTCTCTAGGTGTTACACCCCACATCCGGCAGCTTGTGAAGCCTGTTAAGACACGCTGGAATAGCTATTTCAACACGTTTGTCCGTGCAGCTGAGCTACACGGCCCTATCGATGGCTATATTGAGTGTAAACTTGAGGAGCATAGTGCTGCAACAGCAACCTCACGACGCCGGAAGAATCGTGAGCAGCTCCCTGCTGCCCAGCCACGGTTATATATACGCGAAGGGGGTCTAAGCGGCAAGGACTAGGCGACAATAACAGAATACATTCGACTCCTTGAGCCATTTGCCGAAGCTACACGGCTACTTAAAGGTCGCGGCCGACACGGCCGACACGGCGCTATATAGGAAGTTCTAGTAACGTTTGAGTAGCTTCTTAACCAGCTTAAGGCTCTCAAAGACCGCCTTAAGGATGTAAATTACGAAGATCTAGATGCGCCTGAAGATCATCTTATTACAAACGTTAACCTTGCACATTGTAAGCTTGCTAAGTACTACGCAAAATTCGATAACGCGCCTGTCTACTACACTGCTACAATACTACACCCGCACTACAAACACCACCTCTCAGCGCTCTGGAAGGTGCCTGACACCCATGTCACTGCCCGTGACGGTGTCCACTATCGCGACGGCTGGCTTGACAATAACCACCGGGCATTCCTGCGTATGTGGCAGGGGCGGAAGGACTCTGCAGCCACTTCAGCTCACACTGTAACGCCGCCGCGTAAGAAGCCCCGGCTAGGGATTTCAACGTCGCGATCAGCTTTTCTACAGTCGTCAATTGAGCAAAGCACACGGCAGTTAGAGGCAAGCCTTGCTGAGGATGAGTATGAGATATGGAAGCGGCAACCAGCGTTAGCTGAGGAGGATTGGCTGTCTCTTAATCCGCTTCTATACTGGGAGTCAGTTGCTGGGCAGTTCCCTATACTCTCAAAGTTCGCTATTGACGTCCTAACAATACCAGCAGCAGCGGCAGACTGTGAGCGGACTTTCAGCGAGCTTGGCGACATGTTAGGCACCCGGAGACTCCATATGAAGCCAGAGCTTATTTCAGCTTTGCAGAGCTTGAAGAGCTGGAAGAGGCTTGGTATACAGCCAACAACTACCTCAGCTTCTGGGCTAGCGCGCACACTATCAGAGGAAGAAATCTCAAAAGTACAGGAGCATTTATCTCAGTTCGACGTCAGGTAACTCAGTTCAGTCAGTCCAGTCAGTCCGCAGGCCGCGGCGACGTCAGTTCAGTCAGTCAGTTTTAGTTTAATTGAAAAGTCTTGGCAGTCAGTCCAGTCCAGTTCAGTGACCTCAGGACGTCAGTTCAGTCAGTCCAGAGAGCTCCGGACTGACTGAACTGACTGATAGCAACTCTGGTAGGAGGTGGGCGCAGTGCTACCGATAGAAGGTTCAGCACGAGTATGTGCTCGCTGCCTCCTCTTGTTGCCGCGCAGGTCAGTATTAATAGGGCTCTCAGGCTCCTCTGATCGTGTATGGGGGGGTTGGGCACTCCGTGGCGCCCTCTCTGGAGTTTCTACATTAGCCATTCTAACCACCTCCGCGAGAGCAGAAAGCGGTTATTTAGCTGAGGTAGTTACAGGCCGCCGTGCCGTTAAAATGATGTAAAAATCGTATAATTTTATAAGGGTCCCAAATTCCTTAAAAGTTGGTGTTCGGTGTGTAACTCTGGGTGGAGCAGCAGATGGCTCATCTCCAGCTTGAACACTAGCGTGAGCAGCGCCAGCGCGTTTTTGACGCTTGTTACTTGGTGAGAGTACTTGTGAGGCTTTATACTTGCGTTGTTGAGCTTGTTGGATAGATTTCTTCTGGTGTTGAGCCTCAACTTGTAACAGTACAAGCAGTGAGAGAAAGTTGCTATGCATTTCCTGATGTCTTGTTCTGTTCTGCTGTGGTGATGGCCTTTTATGGGGCCATCATACTAGTCTGTTTACATGACGTATCTGTGACATGGATAGGTGTAGAAGGTGCTTATCAGTAAGAGGAAGAACCATCTCGCCAACACGTGGCACCTAGGATGTCCTTACCCCATGAACCGTCACAGATAGTTGCGGAACTCAGCCATCAACTATTCATTGCAGGATTGTCTCGTGAACAGTGTGAGCGAAGTTTGACTATAACACATGACATGCGCTTAGTGCTAGTTGTCAGAACTACGATACAATTTTCTAATCACCCTCAAACGATTTTCCTTTGCCAACTTGGACATCGTGTGGCTGGGTGCAACCCCATCGAATCCATGTGGCACACCCGGGTAAACGTGCAGCTCCGTTTCAATTCCAGCGCGCAAAAACTTGCTGGCATACTCTAAATCCTCGAACAGGTACAAATCAAGCTGGCTAACTTCTATATAGAGTGGTGGTAACCCGTCTACATTCTCGACCCGAGCGGGAGCAGCAAACATTGGCACATCGCTGCCGCCTGGCTCACGTCCAAGGTAGGCTGTCCATCCTGTGAGATTGTCGATTTCGTCCCAGATAGGTATTTGACCAATCGCCTTAAGCGTGTTTCGATCGTCCAGCATTGGGTAGATCAGAATTTGTCGAGAGAATGGCGGCGTCATTTGTCGGTCTCGAGCCAGCAGTGTAAGCGCTGCAGAGAGGTTTCCACCGGCACTCTCACCCATCACCGCAATGGACGTTGTGTCAAGATTGAACTTTTCGGCTTGGGCGAACATCCAAGTCAATCCAGTCCAGCAATCTTCCAGAGGCGTCGGATATGGGTTCTCTGGTGCAAGCCGGTAGTCAACAGAGAACACCTGCACTCCAGTAAGAAGAACTTGCTCAGAAACGCCATCGACCACATCTGCAGCGCTGATGGAGATGAGGCCGCCTCCATGAATATGGAAAACTGCAGGGTTTTTTGTTGCTTCTTCTTTGGGGTGTACTCTGAAATGGTAGATTGGGAGCTGGTAGCCATCGGGGGTTGGGATGTGGTATATCTTCAACTCGACACCCTTAGCAACCTGTGGATTGCGGTTCGAGTTCATCCTGGCGAAGAACTCTCTTCGACCCTTGACGTCATGTAGTCCTGGTTTCTGTACTCCGGCAAGCGTGCCCAGCATCGGCGATACTGCAGCAAGGAATTCCTGGTCAATGTTGAGAACCATGACTTTGGCCCTTATCACGGAGATATTGAATAAAGGGTGGTTTAATCGTGGGTGGATAGGTATGATGGAATGTAACGATGTTTTAAGAACACTCTCAAAGAATAAGGGAGGATTTCTCTATCGTCGATTCTCGGTTGCAAACCTTGGAAGGAACCAAAAGGCTATGTTTCAATTTGGCTGGCTACACCTCAACCCATATCTACGCCGGCTCGATCGGGTCCGTCTACTTGAATCCATGGATACCGTACTAGTACAGCAACAGTGAGTTACCCGCCCCCCGAGCTGAGCAGAGGTTACGTGGCACGGGTAACACACGCGTCCTAGTGCCTGGGGTATATAGGTAGATTTCTCGGAACATCAAGATTCCTTGCGGGGTACCAAGATTCCTTGCGGGGTACCAAGGTGTATGGCGCTCCGGCAAGCGGAAGGCGAAAGACCCGGGTCGGTAAGATATATTATGTGCCGAGGTAGCTGCTGTCGGGCCGATTACTTGGGTGGTTAGATGAGGTTGATCTTGAAATGGTTTATATTAGGCTGGGTGTTGGAAGGCCTTGTACGATCGTACGGTGAATAACAGTAGCTAAGGTAATCTTGTGTATTGGTATTCTGGTGTATGATGATTCTACGAATGTGGGGGCTACGAAGGTATACATAACGTTGGGTCCGAGTTGGGCCGAAGTAGGATCGAGGCGGTACATTGGGCCTTATTAGGCGACACACCGTGTGTATGCCGACACTGGGTTTGAGCGATATTGTCTAGAATACGGAATCAAACACAATGCCTTCCGAATCCGAACCATCAACTTACCAGGCATCTGAGGTCAACCACAGATGTCAATGAGCAAGCTGAGCGAGCTCAGCCAATTGAGCGGAGGCCAGCAGCTCGCTCGGCTCGCTCGGATTGGCTGAAACAGGGCTGTCAGCTCGCTCGGCTTGATGGGCTCAGTCCCGATTAGGAAAGTTATATAGAAACCTTGGTGTTGAGTTTCTCAGCTAATATCCCACTTATGTACACCGTATTTCGCGTCCATCTCCTCATCGCTGATAGCCTCCTTTACAGGCACCTCACCACTGCCAAATCCAGCTCTTATCCATCGTCGATCGCACTGTATTGCTGCTAGAAGTTGCGGAGAAATGCTGCGCCGACGGGGCTCGAGGAGGTCACCCAGCTCGCTGAATAAGCGCTCACACTCACAGCTTGAGCCTGGGATTGATAGCATGTCGATAGCAAATTTGCTAAGGCTGGGGTAGCGATCGCGGAGTCCTACCCAGTATTTTATAGGGTCGACGCCCTCGCTAGCGATCGGTTCGCTGCGTTTCCAAGCCTCATATTCATCCTCCTCGTTCTCCGTAAGCCCTGCAGGCTCAATAAAGCTGTTGATAGCGTCGTCTATATCATTGTGCCTGACTTTGGGGCGTAAGCGCGGCTTCGGTAAGCTTTTGTACTCCGCCCACAAATGTTGAAACTTGCGGTTGCTGCTCTCTAGCCAATCAGGCTTATCCGCCCACGCTGCGTCAAGGTAGCTTTTGTAGCGAGGATGAAGGATTGTAGCAGCATAGTAAGCTGGCGAGAGGTCGAGCTTGTTGTAGTACTCGCGGGCTTTAACTAGGGCAGCGCGGAGGTTGATAGCAAGGTGGTCTTCGGGTGACTCTGTATGCTCATCGTGAATGACGTCTTCATAGCTTTGCAAGCGGTCCTCATAGACTCCAAGTAAGTATTCAAATACTGGAATAACCTCAGCGATTGCTCCAAAAGCACCGCTTTTGCCGCGGCCTTCAAGCCGTTTTGTAGCTTGTTTCAGTGGCCTGAGCACATCAATATACTCAGCAATCACCTGCCAGTCATGGGCATTGATCCCATCGGACCTCATCCAATCCGGCGCTGCAGGCAGCTTGTTGTTACGACTTCGGGCGTACGCGTCTTCAGTTTCAATCTTCTGAATATGGTAGTTGGCGTACCCATTAACCGCTAATTGCAACTCAACAGCGCGCTCAAAACACGAAACGTAAGAGTTCCAGCGAGTAACAACTGGCTTGACGGGCTCCTTGATTTTGTGCTGTTCTGTTGGCGCGTTGACAGGCTGGTCCCTAATAGCGAGCTTCTGATACTTCTCAAAAAGAGCGTACTGTTGTGGTGTTTTGATGTAGTTGATAACCGCGAGAAGCACTCCCAATGGTCCATCGCCTCGCCAAGTAGCCATGTTCTCAGCTTCGTTCACGCGCTCAGTCTCCTCGTTGTCGTAGGACTCTTTCTCCTCACCCCAGAGTAGCATCTGGCCAATGAGATTAAGCGTATGAGGACCGCAGCGAAGGCGACGCTCGGTAGCGCTGAAGCCCATCTGCAAGGCGAGAGTGTTGATCGTGGTGTTGTTGTTATGTGCGTTGTCGAGGACGAAGTAACCGAGCTTGCCCACAGTGATTTCGAACTGCTTGAATATTGCCATCACGACCTCAGCCATGGCCTCGCCGGTGTGGGCACCTGTCAGTTGTGGGAGCGCAATAGGCAAGTCCCTGAGCTCGCCAGAGCTATCAACGTAGTGGGCGACGATACCTAAGTAACCGCGCTTGCCACCTTTTGTCGTCCATCCGTCAAAGCTTATATGGACTTTGCTCATTGATTCTGAAAGGCTTGCGACAACCTTTGGTAACAGGTAGTTGTACAGGCGTATAACGTATCGTGAGACGCTGTTATGAGATGCCCACAGGGCTCGTTCTGCCTCTACGCTAGCTAATTGTATCATATTGCGAAAAGACGATGATTCGAATTGTGAGAGTGGGAGGTTGTTTTCGACGAGCCAGGTGACGGCCGCAAGCCTAAACTCTTGTATATTGAAGTTGGTAAGCTCGTTGGCAACAGCCTGAGAGCAGCCCTTCTGAAGGGCGCGTTCGAGGAGAGTTTCTTTCCGAGGAGCGACGGTAGTGCGCTTACTTGGAGGCTTCAAGCCATGACCTTTCTTGTCTTCTCCGAGATGACGTGCTGGCGCTGATGGAGACTGCGAGACGTCATGTATGCCACGGCCAACAGTAGTGAACTTGTGCTTATAGCAATAGTGGCAGATCCACGTGACTTTTGCGACGTTGCTGCGCAAGGCGATGCGATAGCCATGGCTGTATACCCAGCTTGCTCGGTTCGAAAGTGATGTGGGCGGCTTGCAGTGCTTTGGGTAGCGACTCCAATTAAAGCCGTCGTATTTGTCCTCTACCCATACGAAACCCTCGTCGACAGCCTCGCTAGCTGCTCCTGAAGCTGCAACAGTGGCATGCTCGCTGCCCTCAGGTGGTGGGATGATTGTCTCTTCGGCGCGCGACTCTCGGAGGGTCGCTTCAAAATTTGGTGCTTGTGGCGCGGCGACGAGAGCTTGACGCGGCGACAGCGGTGGAGGAGGTGGAGATGGTGAGAATGGCCGAGTATCGACTAGCACAGGTTGGCTGGCAGTCCCGCGATGACGCGCTGCGACTCTAGGGCGCTTCGAAGTTGTCGCGATTTCTAGAGCATTAACGCGTGTTCTTTTTGCTGGCATTATAGCAACGGCGAGGTAGATAATAGCTGCAAATAGAGACGCGTTGATGGAGTATAGGTGAGTGTGGTGGGTGATAAGTAGTAAGTGAAGTGTCGCAGAAGGAGAATATTGTTGCCAGGCCGTTAGCCGGAAATTTAGTAGCTTATTTGCTAGAAATATAGCAAAAAAGAGTGTATTTTAGGTTATAACTAGGTTTCGAACTTACGCACTACACCTAAAAATCATCGTGAGATTGCCCCTCCACCAAGTCCTTCAGCCCCAAGTTTCCAACCGCCCCATCCAACCAAGCTAAGCAAGCTGACTGAGCGAGCGCCTATCCCTAAGCTCGCTCGGCTTGCAAGCGCGCACTGCGCGCTCAGCTCATTCGGCTTGGTCAAAACGTCCAAGCCGAGCGAGCTGAGCGAGCCGGCTCGCTCGTTGACAAGTATGATTGTTGGCCTGACCACCTCGTCGCACCAAGCGTTTTCGTCACGGCCTCGCATGCAGCAGTGTACCGCTCTTTGATGAATCCCTTTCACTTTCCTTAGGATGTATTCTAGCTCAGCACGCGCGGCTAGAGTAAGGTTCGGGTCCAAGAGGTCGCTTGTCGCTGTGGTGCTAAATGCGCCAGGCAGGTACATCTGCAAACCGATGTCCGCATCGTTCTTGATGAGGTTCTAAGATAGGTTAGCCAAGTGCAGTGAGTAATAAAGGACGAGAATGTGGTATTGCGAACCTCAAGTCAGCCGGGTATCCATCCTTGATACACTCCGCTCAAGAGACGTGTCACTATAGCAGTGGCGCGTGGACGTTGCGGCCCTGTGCCAAAGATTTCGGTGTAGATTCGAGGCGATGCAACGGTGAGTTTCGTGGTCAACGCAAGCGCGGGACTGCCGCTGCGGGCGGACATGGAGGCACTTTTACGCGATGGGCTATTGCTTCGTGCAGTCGTCGCCGAGTCGTGACTGCTGGGCGGATTGAATGTATTTGAGCCGCCTAGGACGAGTGGGCGGGTATGCAGTCCTGCAGGATCAGATGCGCTCTGCTCTGAAGGCTCGTCACTTGTTCGACGCTGTCGCTTGCTTGGGCTTGCATCACGATGTGTAGACATGGCTGCGGCTGTCTCAATCGAACTAGAGCGCTGGCGCTTTGGTGAGCTCAGTGCGTCTTCTGCTTGAGCTGTAAGAGGTAAAGCTTCAAGCCAGAGGGATATTCGTGCCGTGTCATTGTCGGAACAGTACAGAAGAGTGGGAGAAGAGGTAGCCATGGGGTGAGAGAGCAGAAGAAGTAGCCATGAGGTGAGAGAGCAGAAGAAGTAGCCATGAGGTGAGAGAGGCAGGAAGGTTTCTTATCGATAGCATAACTACTTCAAAGGACTGGTACGCTTCTATTCATATTAGTTTAATACGACCGTACGTGACATCCTATTTGAAACAAAGCTGTACATGTGTACGCGACGAGGAAAGACTGTGTTGATACGGCTAAGGTATCGGAATCACCTTCGTTGCAACGAGTTGAAATGATTGTGATTGTTCTTGTTGTTCTATGGAGGTGGAGGGAGGTCGGCAGTAAGGCAGCAGCTAGAGCTCGGACCACACGGCTTAGTCAGCCGTGTAATCCAAGCTCGTGCATGCAGCAACCAGCTGCCTTATCTACCGCAGGTTCGATTCCCAACAGACTGCCCTTACAAAAACTAGTTTTTCTGACTACCTAGCAAAACTTTCTTGATTCTGAAGAGGATATCAAGATTGAAAGTCTCTCTGTTGTTTAAGTTGATTAGAGGCAATGACGGTCCTGTTGATAAAGTCAAAAAATTAAAACTGGAAGTGTCGAGGTTTTAGTTCGGGATACGTGAATTTGGTTACCATGATTATCAGAAACTCTGTCATGCCTACTTTGATATTACCAATATTAGCACCACTCCCACCAACTACCTCCATCCCATATCGTACCCCACCTACATCTTCCTCCCCTGCGCCCTCGCCCTCGCTTCCGCAATCTTCCAAAAAATAGACCCATCATAAACTCCCCTAATCTCCTCCTTGTACATCTTACCATCCTCGGGCCAAAGCAAAATATACAACGCAATCCCTACATTCACAAGTCAGCCAAACCCCCATCCGCACGCCACCCCACCCAAAAAAAACTTACACTCCAACCCCCCAGCAAACCACCCAAACCAATCATTCGCACAACACTGCCCCTTCCAAACCGCATACAACTCGCTCCCCGTCAAATACGGCCTCCCACCGGCATACTTGTTAAACACTTTATCTAGGCGACGCAGATCCAGCTCGGCGTCAAGGTCGTACACGCCCGTCGTGCTGCCGTGTCTGCTAGCGGCGATGTTGTCGAGGTTGATGGCGAAGAAGGGGTGGGGCATGTATGTTGGTTGTGTGGCGTAGGAGGAGCAGAGCGACATTGTTATGGCGGCCCAGATGCAGAGGAGGGGGTGGAAGCCTAGGGCGTGGAAGCCGGTGTAGATGTCCCAGGGGTAGATTATCGAGGGGTGGGTGCGGGACCAGAAGGTGCAGTGGTTGTGGAGGGCTGTGCGGTGGGTTGGTGGGGGTTGTTTGGATGAGATGCCGTGCGAGAGGGCGTGTTTTTGGACTTCATGGCTGCCTAGTCCTTGTGATGTTCCGCTGCAGATGTCTCCCACGCCTGCGATCCAATTGATGGTACGGAGGGATGTGTGGTCGTTGGTTTCCTCAATCAGAGTATTGTTGGTATCCGCCGTAGACAGCTCTCTTGCCATGCCATCACCGCCGCCGTCGAACCCACCAGCCACCTCAGCAGCCTCGACCCGCCTGCCCGCAACCCCATTGCCCGTAAAATTGAACGTCGCCTCTGCCGAGAGGAGGCTTACACGAACAGCCATCGTTGCTGCTGCGGTGGTGTTTAACGTGCAAAGACGATATCACTCACAGCTTGTTTGTTGTAACCGTACTAACAAACACTCGCTTAGCCGGCTTCGTATTATTTTGTTTGTTTGTTTGTTTTGTTCGTATCTCACTCTCACATGATTGTTCGCGGACTGCATCCGTGCCTCCACCTGCCACCAATTACCGTGATCTGACGTATGGGCTTGGCGCTGGCATGTTGGGATACGACAGACCCCATTCTATCACTTACCGTATCTACGGGTCGACCCTGCCTTCGTTTCGAGGATGCAGGCGCGTCACGTCTCGTTTGCGGTTGTTGCTCCGCCATCCTGCTGCATGGTACCTTCTCTTTTCATCATCATCACCAACGACGTGCGCAGCTCCTGCATGGTGAGCTGCCAGGGCTTGGGGGCTGGAGTGGCGATGACGTATATTGGCAAGAATTGGGGTATTTCACAATGCGATGGCTGTGTTTTTATGCTGTCGCTGTCGGCCCCCGGGTAATGGCATCGGGATGCGAGATTCCAACATTCGGCTTTCTCTTAAGAGACATGGTTGCTGAAGGTCGGTAGTGCGGTCGGCATGTGGATCTTGGAGTTTCGACTAGCAAGGCGGTGAACCCCGCACTGCGACACTCAGAGCCCCACCACCAGTCGCTCTGCACCCCAGCATCCCGTCTAATTTTTGATTGTGATTATGAATATTATTATCTCATTTTCTTCCATCAAATCACCTTGGTTGCGTAGTGTAGTGGTTATCACTCCAGATTTTGACTCGACATCATCATTCTGGTAACCCCGGTTCGAGCCCGGGCGCGACCTATCTTTTTGCACTTTTTTTGCATTATAGACCCACCCCTACACGATTCATCCCTCCCCTCCCCCTCCAGGTATCATCACACAACATTTTTGCACATCAAAACAACAAAGGGATACAATTAACATTACTAGGTCTTCCGACAAAAAAAAACTGCAAACTGTCCATGCCAACAGTTACCAGACACACCTGACACAGCCATCTATCCATCCATCCTTGCACAGCGGCAGCTTCCCAAGCAGATATCTCTCATTTATCGCAATACTGCCAGCTCGCATGCTACCCCGTTTGAAATGTGTGCCTTGTCCTTTGCATTGTGGTAGTAGCGGCGTGGGGTCGTGTACGTTGTGTTGGGTATTGGAGGAATGTGTTTCTTGTAGCCGCGTGTAGGCTGGGTCTAGACGGAGGTAGAGGATGAGGTTGAGTAGAGACATGTTTGGCTGGGGGTGTTAGTTATGGGTGGGGGACTGATGATGGGGGGAGGGGTACTTTGGTATTTGTGGGTAAGAAGGAATGGGGGGTTGGTTGATGATGGGTTGGGAATGTGGTTGGTTGGTTGGTTGATTGGGTGGGTGGGTGTGTAGTATGATGAATGCAATCTATTGGTCGAAAGGATGACTGCTATGGGGAGGAACGTGAGGCCACATCATATCGCGCCTGCCTCCGCTTCTCGTCTTGTAAACACCACGATGTTGACAAGAAGATCAAAATTCATAATTGTTGAGAATATCTAGGTTCAGTCCAGGGTAGAAGGTGCTTGAGAGGCACATGATGTGCTGGTGTGGCAGGCACTGCCCGGTGGGCAATAGCATCCACCACAACAGCCTGAGTGGGCAACACTTAATACGATAGTCAATACAATACGTTGCAGTCACCCCGCCTTGTCCCTCCTCCCACTCGGTTATCCATAGTAGTCATACTACTAGAGGGACCTTGTTCTGATAATAATCTTAATTCACCGCATACCGTCCCACTCCCGCTAACTTCACAGCAAATCCTCCGTCTCCTCCTCTTCGTCCTCACCACTCCAATCCAACTTCATCAACAACCGATCAATCCCCCCCACCCTCAACGGCTCATACGCGCCCTCCTCCATACTCGCCGCATTCGCCGTACCAGGCGCAGAAGCACCAATCCTCTCACTATCAATTTCTCTTAGCCGCTCCACCAGCGCCTTGAGATCGCTATCCAACCTCCTCCTCGCACGATCCATTTCCACGGCAACCTGCCCTTCTTCCTTCTTGTAGTTTTGCACATAGTCCTCCACGCCCTCGTCTTCTTCGAGATCGAGGCTTTGTTGGATCTTGGTGAGGCGCGTGATGTAGGCTACGAGTTCGTCGACGTGCGTGCAGAGTGTGCGGAGGGCCTTTGTGTAGGCTTGGTCTGTGAGGAGGAGGGAGTATGCGATGGAGGAGAGGAAGCGGCGGTGTGCTGATGCTAGGGCTTCGGGGTCGTGTTGTTGGTGTGCGCCCCCGTCTGTTGCGGATTTGCGGAAGCCGGAGGATGTAGCAGGGCGTGAGGAGGCTTCTGTGGAGGAATTGCTCTGGGGTCCTGTTACCCAGGTGATGAAGTGGGTGAAGGTTTGTTGGACAACGGTTCCGTGGAAGTAGGCTTCGCTTTCCGCCAAGAAGAAGATGGCGGCTGCACATGTCGCCCAGATTCGTCGCATATCTTGAGCTCGCTTTGCAGCTCGTTGGCGACGTCTCTTGAGGATTGCTTTGCCGTGTGCAGAGTTGCTGAATTGGTAGCCTGGGGGACATGGGTAGTCTCTTCGTATCGAGCTGTACCTCCATAGCTCCGCCAAGTGTAGATGGGCTCTTCGAACTGCAAGCAGGCAAGAATTGATCGTTGAGTAGACATCAAGGTCTGTCTTGGTTACGAACAAATCGAGTGGTGAATGGATGTCCATGGTGAGAGATGTTGGCACTGACAGCAGTAGCTCATCGAATGCTGCATTGGGGAGCTGTGGAAGCGCAGATTCTGTGTCCTTTGCACGGCCTGGGGTTCCGGGCCGTTGAGTTGACGAGGTGTTCACACTGAGATGAAGTAGCTGCGTTGCCACGTCCAGGATATCATCTGTGGATTCATCTTCGCTGGATAAGGTTGAAAGAATGGACAAGGAGCGCGCGAGGATCTGACTGATCTCTGCTTCCTTTAGCAACACGCCCTTTACAGATTGGCTAGATTTTGCTGCCAGTTGGCCTCGGTGTCGAGATGACATCTTGTCATCCGCCTCTGCGATCAAGGTGAGAGCAAACTCGCCCCGACCAATGAGGAAAAATTGATATAGAACGTTCAATGTCTCTATAATCTTTTCGCGAGGAAGCAGGTGCTGTAAAAGGTTTCTTGACAAAGACAAGCGAATGTTTGCGACAGCCTCGGATAGTTGCGAGGCTACAACTGGCACGCTCACTCCCGCGAGATGTTGAACGTGCTTGGGTAGCAAATCAAGTTCTGACGCTGAATTTGCTGCGTTTGATGCTTTTACAGCCGACGGTAACGAGCGGATCTGGTTAAGGGACTTGCCAACGAAGAGGATAGAAAGAGCCGTCTGCCTCGTTACAAACTTGGGTAGCAATTTGTTCTGCAGCATGAAAATCTGCTCATCTGCATCTCCATCATCTTGCTGGATGAAGAAATCTGAACGACCAAACGAAGGAAGGCGGCCATACAACAGCCATGTGGATAGCTGCCGTAGCCACGAAGTTTCCGCGACCTTGCTCAGGCCATGTGCTGCCTCTGCAATATCAGGAAACCCTGTCTGAGCCTCGGTTCTCAGCTTGTCTATGATTGCAGCTCCAGAAGCAGCTTTTGATGTGATGTTTTCGCTCTTAGAAGTAGCATCCGAAGGTGGCATGTAGTTGCTGATGGTCCAGAGCCATGTCATCAGCCTGACCCATTCGGAAAACTCGCTGACCACGCCTGCGAGCGGCACAATGTTGTATGCGCCGACAGTAGTAGAGTCCTGTTTGAGAATACGGCTCTCAACTTCAAGGATCTTGCGCTGAAACTGCTCAAGATGGTGTGAGGTGATTGACGTAGCAACTGCCCTGCAGATGATGGAAGGATGAGAAGCGGCAATCTTAGCAACATGATCGCGCGTATCCCGATGCAGTTGCGATAAATGTCCTATTGAGGACAAAAGTTCCTTTTCAGACGGATGCAGCAGTGACTGGGTGGTCGACGTCACGTGGTCGGGGGCATCGAAGAGCGCGGACGGGTGCCCGGAGAGCGAGAGGAGGATTTCGTGGAGCATGGTCGCGGCAACGGCAAATCAGTCGCTTGGCGCGATCGTCTCTTGCGTGTCGTTAGTCGCTCGGAACAAACAATGAGTACGCTCAAGAGTTCAAATCGACACATGGGACGCGTCGCGGGGCGCGCATGCGCCGTTCATGCAGATGGATTGGGTTTGGTGTTGTGGAGGTCAACAAATCCCCGCACTAACGTTAGCGCCGGGTACTCGATAGCGACGCACAGGGAAGAACAGCTAATTCTCTTCTGCACCAGCTAACGGGTCGTATATTGAATCACCATCAACAGCTTCACTTCTTTTATCTAGAAACGAGCTAAAGATCACCAGGGCTGCTTTTCCCAGTGCTAGCACGCGTCCCCAGCCACAAGCAACTAGCTTAGGATACTCTTGGGTTACCTTACTACCTTCTAGACGGCGACTGTTGTCCCCGAAGTAGCACTTTGTACTCGAAAGAGCTTCTCGATCATCAGATGTTGCGCCCAAATTTCAACTGCGCCGACGCTAACCTGTTCAAGCAGCAATGAGGTCGATTTACCATCAACTCTTGTTCACACATGTCCGCCTATGCTCACGTGGATGCCGTCACACAGAAGCATTTACAGAAGCAATGCCGAACAAGACAGCCCCACTTCTCACTTGATGCCTTTTCCGTCCATTTCAATATTCACAAAGCGGGTCATCTACAAGACGACGTCGTCTTACCCTCGATCCTATCGTACACAACTGCTCTTGGACAACTGTCATAGTTAGCTGGACTCCGAGCACCCATGACAGCATCTGCAACACGTAGACATGCATCCAGCTCAAAATTGCCCCACGGAGGCAGTACAGCCCCCACGATCGAGAGTCCTAAGCAAACAATTATCATCAGATCTTCGGTCTTGCCTCCTCTTCGGTGCCATGATGCGGTGTGCGCATGATATTGGGTCGATATTTTACTATGAAACCTTGCGGGTGAAACAAGACACTATACCACCGTACTCTGCAGGTACACGTCTCTTTTCGTATCACCTTTTCCTCGTTCTTGTCGTCGATAAATCATCCATCCGGCCCGCTCCATCTCATTTTCACAACCCAAACGCATCACAAGATGAATTCCCTAGATCTTCTACTCGAATTTGCAGTCCAACAGAGCAATGCATCAGAAATCGCTGGTTCTGATGTCAAGAACGAAGACAAGAGCCATATATCAAATCCAGATTGCTACACGGAAGCATGGGGGTTCAAAGCCACAGCCGCTCAACCAGGGATATACAATCCCACCTACCCCAGCAACAATGCCTCGTCTACCCGCACAATCCAGCATTCTACAAGCATGCCGCCAACGCATCCCCAGCAGCAACACGCCACAGTACCCACCATGCAGACCACAAGCTCACAGTCCGGATCTCAGAGCACATACGAAACCCCCCTGCACACACCACGCTACCACAACGCCGACATCTCACAACTCTCCTATCAAAACTCGCCTCAACAACATTTTACATCAGATTACAACAATAACGTCTACGACCCCATGCTCGAACAGCAATACCACTGCCCGTCTCAGGACCCCCCGTGGACCGGATACTACAGCAATGACATGACCATGTCGCCTGCAGACATGATGCCCTGGGGTCTTTATAAAACGTCTTCTTGTACGCCGGAGGATGCGAGACAGCATGAGATACTTGACATGTTCCGCGGGCAAGAATTGGGTATTGGTCAAGGACATCATTTGGAAGGGATGTGTGGGTGTGGACAGATACATGCTGGTACGTGAGAAATTGTGGTTTATACACGGAGGGCATAGGATGAGATACGAAAGATGGGTTTATAGTGTTAGGTTCTTGGACTTGTGTTTTTGTTTCCTTCATGCTATGTTCATAGACCGATGAGTTATTCAAACTATTCTTTCAAAAAAAAAGCCTCCCAATGCTAGCCGATCAACTTATTGTGTGCTGTTCCTCCGCATGTTTGTAGGTAGAGCCCTTTGAGCTGTCAGAAGCTCATCTCCCATCGCCTTTATATTTTCTCAGCATAGAAAAACCTTCATTCTAGAAACTCGCGAAGAAAAATCTTTCTTTTAAAACCAGAAAAGAAAAAGACTCCACACCTACCCACCTCAACCAAACACCCCAACACCAACACCACCCCCACAACCCACCCCCTCAAGGCTCCCCCTCATTAACCAAACCCCCCCAATCAAACTCAACCCGCGTAACCACCGAAACCAACCAACCAAACTCATTCACCAGTTTCCAACCCTCTCCGATCTCACCCCATGCACTCCAACACATCCTCACACAAATGGTTGCCCTCACACTCGTGCGTATTCCAAGTGTCATGATGGGCCGACGGAAACTTCTTCCGCAGCCCACCCTTGACAATGAGCGTCTGTATAACGGCGGCGTCGTCGTCGTCGTCGATATGCATGGCCTGTTTGCTGCGCGCTTCCTTGGTCAGCGCTTCTTCCTTTATCAGCGCCATAGCCTGCGGCCGCGGCTCGTGCTCGTCTAGGTTGACGGTTAGTTTTATAGCGCCGAAGTAACTACCGCTTCTCGCGGATCCAGTTGCGTAAGCCTTGGAGGAGGAAGAAATCGGCCTCGTTTTCTAGGCGCGCGTCCAGAAGAGGGGGAATTGGTTGGGGCGTCGCATGTATCTGTGGATTGTTTTAGCCTCTCCTCGTCCGCCTTCTTGTCGTTTTTCTAGCCAACGGCCGTTTCGTTACTTTATTCATCTTACCGAAGCAAATGTTCAAACATCTCAGCATCCGCATCTACAAAAAGTGTCCCGCCAGCTTGTACGTCAGCGTGGCCTTCCCAGCGATCAACTAGATTGGCAAAGTACGGGTGCTGTGGCTAGGACTTGTTTTGTTGTGCGGAATGTGCGGGTGCCGCCGACGTCGAGGGTGAGGATTTCGGGTAAGGAGGTTGTGGGGGTGTCTATTTGCATGGCTTTTTTTCTTCTTCTTTTTCTTTTCCTTCTTAGTTTGAGGGGGTCCTGGTGGTTTCTGTGTTGTGTGGGCTAGAAGTGGGCTGTTTGGGGATGGTATGTTTGGAGGCGTGGGGTTGGTTTAAGATGTGGGGTGCATGTGGCTGGTTCCGAACGTCGGCTATAATATCCGCGGAATAAATATACCCCACTCCCTTCCACAAGGGCAGAACATTCAGATAAGAGAACACATGAATCACAAGCACTATGAGGGCACGCTCTTAGATTTTGAGAGAAAGATAGGTATGAATATGGATGGATGAGTACACATGGCTTGGGTATGATGCACATACTTGATGTAAAACAACATACACACCATCTCACATAATCACACATCACGGCAACACCAACAAGATTAGAAATTTGCAAATGTGTTATTAACAGTACACGAATCCTCTAATCACCACCCACCTACCCACTACCCACTGCTCACTACCCATCCCAATTCCTCATCCCCAGAGGTGATCACATGTCCCATCATCATCTGTTCGGAAAAACTCCCCCCGTGTTCAGCACCACCCTTGAAAGCCCTGTAGGCCCTGTCCACGGGCAACAAAACAAGAGGTGGCGACTATGAACGAAAAAACGAGGGTTCCGAATTAGAAAAAAGAAAAGGGAAAAGGGAAAAGGTAAGAGGCAAAACAAGAAAGATGATTGCAAGGCCCCGAAAGATGATGTCGTCGCACATCCAAGAAACAATGAAATACAAGGGCGGCGACCATCAGAGGAGGAGGAAAGCCCACAAAGAAAAAGAAATGAGTTGAGGGGGAGTACACTGCCTCCCATGAAAAGCGACCTTGAGGTTCCACTCAAACCGTTGTGGCACAAGATGTCGCTAGATATGCTGCTTGAGTCGAAGAAGGGAAGGAGGGGGTGACATACTGCTGATGACGACCCACCTGGGGCGTCTGGAGACCCTTGTTGGAAACAGTCGTGTACGTGTATGACAACCGGTTCTAATGTCTATGATCCGTCATAGAATAGATGTTGCAACACAATCATTTCGACCGTTCAGGCAGCCGCAAGCTTGGCCCATGTGGTGGGAGTGCTGACGGCGTTGGCGGTGTTGGCGGAAGAAATTGCAGACGAGCGAGGGTTACTGTTGGTAGTCCAAGACTTAGCCGCAGAAGGACGGGCGGTGTTATTGTAAGGGCGGTCAGCTGAACCCTGGTGCGAAGGCTTGCGGGGGCGTTCCTTGGAACCGTTGACAGACGTCGAGCTTGGGGAACCAGGCTGCTTAGGCTTGGACTGACGGTTAATCTTGGGGCCGTAGTGCTTCCTCTGCACCGATTTGGTGACAGGGTTACGCATGTTTGGCAGGCTGACAACGACATCGAATTTGCCCTTGTTCTGGGCATTCTTCTCGATATCGAAAGCCTCAAGACGACGGATTGTAAATGGGTTCTCAAACTTCTTGTACTTGGGATGCTGCTCGTCTCGAGGTGCAGGCTTTGGGGCTTGGTTGGCCGCAAGATGAGGGGCCTTTGACAGCTTGACGGTGGGCAAGGAACCAAACTCTCGGTCTTCGAACAGTGCCTCGGCACCCTTGCGAGTGACGACGTCTTTGCCACGGTCGTCTGCGAAGGTCTTACCCAGAGGTGCTGTGGGGAGAGACACAGTCGCAGTGCCAGCGTTGCCACGGACGTCGAGAGCAGCCTTCGACAACGCCGTGGGGGCCACTGCACCTTGCTGGGGGGAGACGACGGGGAAAACTGGGGATGTGGCGGGCAATGAAGAAGGTCGAGTTGAACCAGGCTTGTCGAGCAGTTTGTTAAACCTAGCTTGCCATTCTGGGTTCATAGTAAGAGGCCTCGCTCCTAGACCTTGGCCGCGTGGCATGGTGGCCGGGGCAGATGCAACATTGCCAACCGCCGACGGAGGAAGACGCACAACAGGCGAAGGCTTTGGGAGCCTCACCATTGGATGGTTGGTCTCGCTACTGAAGGCGGGGTGTGTCTCAGTCTCCGGAGGCGGGGGAGGCGAGTCGGCCTTGTTTGATGAGAATGCAGGCATGGGTGGCGCAGGCTCCATCGGGCGTGGAAAGAAGCGTGAGGGGCGAGTGCCAGTGGCTTGCTGGAGAGTACCCTGACCAATGACCTGCTGTGGCGAAAGGCCTTCTTGGAGCGGCTTCGTGACCTCGTCCTTTTTGAGGCTCTCTGCTAGCGCAAGCTCGGCAGCGACCTTGTCATGAAGTGTGACCTCGGCTTGTCCACGCTGGTCCTTGAAAGTCTCTCGGATCTCGGGGCGGAAAGCTTCGCCTTGGCGTGCTTGGTCCTGGCGGTTCTTGGTGTAGGTATCTTGATCGTCCTTTTTGATGAAATCGCCAAACTTGTCCCAGCCTCCGCCAGAGATGGGCTCTACCTTGCGGTAAGTCCTTGACTGGGGCTGCTGCGCACGAGCAGGGCGTTGAGAAAACATCTGCTGTGGAGGCATTTGTCTTGCGGGCTGGGGAGCTATGGGTTGCTGTGCTAAGCCCGTTCCGATGGGTGCGGTTGCTGCAGGTGCTTGTACAGGAAGCTGCTGCTGTGCACCAGGTTGAATTGGACCGCGATAGCTAGAACCGAAGGTGCCGTTACCGAGTGCTCGATCTTTTGCCTGTGGAGGACCCCAAACTTGTGAGGTCCAAGGTTTGGGTTGCGGTGCTGTCGAAGGTGTCCAGGCAGCTGGACCCTGTGGCCTAGTCCCAGATTGGCTAGTGCCCTCTGTTTGGTGAGCGAGCGGATTTGACTGTTCAGTCGGCAACCTTGACTTTTCGCTGTCACGAGCCAATGGATCAAACGGCTGCGTTTGCTGGTCTAGCGAGGCTGCTGCCTGTGCGGATGCGGACACTCGGGCGTGCTCCATCTGAGGCGACTTTTTGACCGGGTGAGGCTGGTGCACCTTCATCATGCCGTACTGGGCAACCTCGCCATCAGCTGTCGGAACAGGCGGCTTTGGCGGAGATTGAACAGAAGCGGGCACTGCCTTTTCTTTCGGGGGCGATTTTGCTGGTCGTGCGGGTGACTGCTCCTTGGCCTTTGGTGGTCCCATGGCAGCAAGTTTCTTAGCAATGCGTTCCTTCTTTTCTTCCTCTGCCCGCTTCTCGGCTTCGGCGTCTTGTAGTTTCTTGAGACGAGCACGCTCAATCTTCTCGGCCATGAGGCGGTTCTGCACTACGACGGGATCTTCAGCTGGGGGTGCCACTGGTGCCACTGCCTGTGCTTGCTGAACAGCTGGTGACGCTGCAGAGCCGTATGGCGAGGCTGGGTGTGCATGAGGCATATTCGGAGACTTCATCTGCTGGAACGGCGATTGCCGAGCTGCTGTAGAGTCGGAAGGATCAAAGCCGTTGATGGAGTGGGATTCACGACGCTCAGAGTTCATTGGCCCATTTGGCATGTCTGCGCGTGGATCCATGGACATGCGCCTAGGCATGCCTCCACTGACGTTTGAAGAGTTCCTTCGCCTGCCCCATGTAGGTCCGTCCGCAGTTGCTCTTGAGGTTTGGAATGCTGCCGATGGTTCTGCTGGGCCATCTTGGGAGGGCCTCTGTAGCACGGCTGGCTGTTGTCGGAATCCACTGTCGCGTCCAGAACCTCGTCGCACATCATTGTGCACTGGCTCATAGCGACCACTCTGAGAGTTGAACAGTTCTCGGCCATCCCGACCATCTCGACCGCCGCTGTCATTGCGCCAGGAACGATTGAAGTCGTCGGGAGCAATCTCTTTCGCAGGGGGCGGAGGCATAGAGTCATAGCCGTAGGAATCTCGTTGTGAGTAACGTTGCGGGGGTGGTTGATGCGCGGGGGGGTTGATCTGAACCGGCGAGACCTTCTCAATAGGAGGAAGTGGCGCCCACGGTGACTTCTTCTCCGTCGCAGATGGCTTGGCTACTAAGGTTGGCTTCTCTGGTTGGCCCTTTAATACAAGACTCGATTTTCCAGTACATGGTTGCGCGTGTGCTCCCGGCTTCAGAATGGTCTTGGTGCCACCAGTGACACTTGGCTTGGGGTTTGAAGTCGAGACCGGGGCTGGCTCTGGCTTGGGCTTGGGCGTCTCCGCGGGAGTCTCGGGCTTTAGTATCGTCTTTGGCTCCTCGGGAGGCGGGGGTTGTTCTGGTGGTACTGCGACCGAAGACTTTGTTCCGTCCATCCATTGCACAGTTTCCGGAGCCCAGTCATCCTCGTCGTCGTCAATATCCGCCCACTTTGCTTCTTTACCACCCTCGTCTGCTTGTAAGCGGGTCGCAAGGTGAATGCCGTATTGCTGCTTGAGCTCCTCGTCGGTGAATTGCTTCGGCGGGGGCGGGGGAACTGGCTGGTTCTTATTCCAGACCTTGCTAGCATCTGGGCCTGCACCTGCACCATTGGTCTGTCCCAGTGTTCGCGGAGCATTGCTGGTGCCCGACTTGGCTACGAGGCGGGGTTTTGCCGAAAGTACATTAGAAGGCTTGGGAGGAGCAGCGGCTGTCACCTTTTCGCCAGGTCGCGCGGCCGGAGTGGTAGTGACGGTCTTGGCCAGAAAGCTCTTGGTCACGGATACCGACTTGAAAGGCTGCTTCTTGGCTGCTGAGCTGGTCCGTACATGGCTTCCATCCCGTTTCGACTGGTCAACGCTACCGGGCCGGCTGATGTCGGTGTCTGAGCCGCCGCTCGCATCTGTCACAGCCAGAGAGTCTGTCGCCAAATGATCGCTGGAAATGCCATTGAGGTGGGGCTGTTTGGAATCGGCCTGGGATGCGCCCGACTGCTTGTTGTCGCCCTTGATTGAGTTAATGCTATCCCCGCCTTCCTCGTCGCCTCTACTTACAGCGGCCGCCTGTCCGTCCACATTTACAGATGCAATCGAGGGTACATTCGCTCCGTTCGCAGTTTGTTTGGTGGAAGAGGCTTCGGGGTCGTTTGGTGTTTTGGTGGCTGTGTCCGAGGGCGAACCGCCATTCACGGCGGGAGAGTTGGTAGTTGACGCAGAGTCGTCGATGGGCGCCGAGGGTCCCACCGACTGTGCTTCCTTTACCACATCTTTGGCAACCTGCTCTGCCATAACAGTTTCCGGAACTGTGGTGGCATAAGAGACTTTGTCAGAATCGGGTTCGTTGTCTGAGTCGAAGAAAGAAGCTGGCGTGACGGGCGTCGACTGCTGCGAGTCGAGCCCAGCTGAATGGCCGAGAGGGTCCACATGCGACATTCGAGCTAAGAAAACGTGGGGATAATCACCTAATGTCAGATGCTACAAGTCGCCACAAGTATCAAGTGGGCGCTTCCGCAGATGTACTGTCTGCTGGCTCGTAACGTGACGCGGCCGATGTGGGATGCCGGGTGCGGAGGTTTCGGACTGTTTCGACGTCTGGTTGCGCGGGCTGAGAGGGCAGTCGCCGACGCTGGGGGAGTCGCGCTGATGGACCGAGCGGCGTGGATTCGCGGCCGGGAGGGAGATTCAATTAGAGAAAGCCCTTTGGTGCGTGGGGCGGGTTGCGGGTGTGGATGGGGGTTAGGAGGTTGAGGCAGTCAGTAGCCACGATGGTGAGAGGCGCTGGCCTTGGCACGGCTGGGGCCTTCTTTGTATCCAACTGCGGGTGCTTTTGGGGGGGAGCATATACGTCACACTTCAGCGCCGGCCATATCATTCACTCAAGCGTCGCGCCCGTGGGAGTCAGAGCCCGCTCGGTACGAGGACGGGTAGCTGCGCATACACGCCGGCACCCACATGCTCACAACAGCCACGTGAGCCATGTCGATTCCATCAGAACAACATGTCGCGATAAGGCACATGCATTTTTCACCCCTTCTGAGACGATGCGTTTGCTTGCGCATCATGGTGCAGCCACTACAGGGCCGTATTGAAACTTGAGGGGGCCAATCCATAACAGTTGAGCTTGAAACTTGAACAAGAAACCCACACATGAGGCGCATGATAGGCATGATAGGAGAGGAGACTGTCTTGGCTAGATGCTTCATTCACCAACTACACTTTACATATACAATTCCTGTCTATTCGCTCGTATTGGCCAGCGCATAAGACTCGCTTAGTGCTCGTTGTTCTTGTGGTGGCCTGGGAGTTGTGAGTCATACTGGTCATGCTGTCTCAGCAGCGCATCTGATTGACTTACGAAGATGGAAGTAGTAGTTTTGTGCGTAGCCAAAGGCGATCAAGACGCCAATGACGTGAACGAGCGCTATGCATGTTAGGGATGTACACACATATCACTAACCCAACTTACGCCTTCCTGAGGGGTTCTTTCCCATGTGCTTCTTTGCATAGCGTCCGAGAAGACCCTTGGCTTCGGGCTCGGGAGCGGCGCCACGGGGCAGCTTCTCGTAGAAGCTCACAACCTTCTGCATGCGGACGGCATTGGGAGAGGAGCCGATAGCCTAGCGAAATATCAGCCTTGCGCTGGAACAGTCTTGGCGGGGGTTTCGGCGAATCTCGGGAATGCGACGGGCTCTGTCGTGGAGCTGTGCAGGACGTGGGTGTGTTTGCCGTGAATTGAAAGATGCGCAGATGCAGTTTCGGGGCCTTGGGAATATATTTTTAAGGTTCCAGAGGGAGTCTTACATTGGGAGAAGCAATCTAGAAGCCATTGTTAGTATCCCACACTGGACCAGAAGAGCGCAAGAGGGCGTACCTTGGGGGGAATGAGGGTCGAGAGACCGCGCTTTTGGAAGAAGCTCATCTTGACGGCTACGGCTTGATTAGCACCAATTGGCGTGTCCCGGCGTCATCGTTTTCTCTGGGCGACGTACCAGGGCGGGCAAGACGATGGAGTGGAGATGGAGGTCGTGCAGTCGGTGGTGAGGTTCGAGAAGAAAGCTGCAAGACGGATTATGCCGGCGCCTTTCGCCAAGCGACCACCCCAGCTTCATCCATCGACATCACCGACAACTGACGCCCACCACATTAACAAGACGCCCACCATGTCTGCCCTACCACGGTCAATTGCATCAAGACTGATCGCGCCTTCTCTGCGCCCCTTGGCGCCCCGCGCAATTGCGCCAGCTTTCCGCACCTATTCCACCAACGAGCCGGTTCCCCATGGACACAAGACGAGCACCGAAGATGCGCCCGCAGTCAAGCTCACCAGTGAATCGACCCAGATCCGGGAGGAAGGAGCGACCGAAGGAATGAGGCACCAGCCTGACTACAATGTCGCCGTCGACTACCGGACTTCGTGCGTCTCGCCAGAATATGGCTTGTCCCATCCATGTGGCTAACACATCGCCAGCAACTTCTCCCCTGTCCCCAAGCGCGTCATGGACGGAAGTGAGCCAGGCGATAGCGTAGCTGCAGCTGTTCTATCTGGCGCCCCTACCGACCTCCAGGCGCGTACTGTCCGGTACGGCAGCCCCTCACATGACATGGTCCGCCCAACTGACAGTGGATAGCATCTACAAGCCCAGCAAGACTGCCACACAGTCCGGCAAGTGGAACGCTTCGCACTGGTTGATGGACTGGGATGTCCTTCCCAAGGGCCACCGCTGGGAAAACCCGCTCATGGGTTGGCAGTCATCGGCCGACTTCATGAACGGCCACCGGATACAGTTCAAGTCCAAGGAGGACGCCATCAACTTTGCCAACAAGCAGGGCTACGAGTACTTTGTGCAGGAGCCCAACAAGCGGAAGTTTGTCCCCAAGGCCTATGCCAATCTCTTCACACATCAGCCCAAGAAGCTCAAGGTTATATTGACCAAGTAAGCGGTGGGTTCAGCGACCGACCGACAGCATATGTACATAGTGCATTTATTTCCATTTCATGTCTATCTTATCAATGTGTACAAGTGATGTTTTCGTTTCCGTCAGATTGTATTATCCATCCGCCGCCCATGGCCCCTTTGCAACATACTCAAGGCACCCACGCCTGACATCGTCATGGCCACCTTCGCGTAACTATCGGTCGAAACGATGACTCTGATATCCCTCCATCTATCCCCGGACCCAATTTGCTAGCGCCGAACCTCCGCGCTGTGCCAATTCTAAGTTACAACTCGAGGTGAAGCCCAATTTCGATTGCCCTCAGCCTTGGCACGCCCACAACTTTTCATCATAACAACTCCCACCTTCTACTCTTACTTCCCCCACAGCGCCCATCCCCATCACAAACCTTGAGTTTGAAGCCTTGTATTGCTACAAGCAATATTAAACAAGACAAACAGCAAACACAGACTACTTGGTAGTCTCCAAACCAGCACCACCACCACCAACAACACAAACAACGACGACATGGGTCGTGCTGGCTACGACAGCACACTCCTCAACCGCAAAGAATCCGCTACGGCAGCAGTTCTTGACGGCTACATTGCCAAGAAGGCAGTCGAAGCTGTCAGGCAGCCCCATACCCGGATCGACCATCTTGTTAATACTTGGTCGGGACAAGGCAGTCGTGGACGCTGCAGCGGCCGAAGAGGCAAGGCTGATCAAGAACCACCAGTCATGCGGGATTGTGGTATGTTGATTCACCCCCTTTGTACTTGTCGGTATCGAACTAACGTTTACAGGCTGCGCGCAAAGCCGCCAAGGAGGCTGAACAGACGGAAAAGTGAGTGTTTGAGGGCGAGGCGTCGACTACTACGAAGTAGTGACGACCTTCCTCTCTTCCTCACTCCACCACATCATTGCTAACGACTCACTCATCGCACACGGGTGTCAGTCGAGGAAAAGCGTTCATTACAACATCTCCGCATTCCGTCTCCGTTTCCGTATATACAACCGCAAAGCCCCCATAACGAAAAGTTTGTCATCATTACAAACAAAACTACAAGTTCATGAATTCGTAATCGTCATAACACAGCTTTCCCTCTTTCACCTACCCACTACAATTATTACCCCTGCCCATCCCCATCAACACCTACACGCTCACACCCCCCCTCCTCAAACTCCTCTTCCGCTTAAACGTCTCCGCCCCCCTAATTGCACTCTTTGTCGCCTCCAGAAACTTGGTCGCCATCTTCTCTACGCCCGTGCTCAAATTCGGATGTTCGCCATCGTCTGTATCTTTCACGGCGTCGAAATCTGCATAATTGTCTACAAACCACACGGGGCTCTTGATGGTACTTTTACTCGGCGCATAACTCGCTATCGCCGTGTTGAGCTCTTTAATCCCATCGACGGCGCGTTGCGGGAAGCGCGCCGGGTCCAAGGGGAGGAGGTTGGAGAAGACGATTTGCATGTTTTCGTTCTTTGCGCGCATTTGGCCGAGGAGGGTGTCGTAGGCGTGCAGCACGTCGTCGACGGGCTTGCGACCGAGTAAGACGTCGTTGGTGCCGAGGAGCATGATGATCACGTCGGGCGGGTTGGCGTCGAGCCAGCCGGTTAGGTTTCCTGTGCGGGCGAAGTCTGTGGCGAGGGAACCGGGGTGGCCTTCGTGGTTTTGGTCAATGGCGTTGCCGGCGCATTTGCTGGTTTGGCCGCCGACCATGTCGAAGTTTGTGATTTGTTGGCCTTTGAGGAGGGTTTGGAGGTTGGCGCGCCAGCAGCGCTGGGGGGGTGGTGTTAGTTTGTGTTCATGGGTGGGGGAAGGGGAAGACTTACAGAGACGATGGAAGCGCCAAAGGGCATTACTTTTACCACACCTGCGGCGCTCACCACCTGGCTGCCTAGGGACAGCAGCCCGAAGGCGAGGGTGGACAGTCGGACCATTCTCGGTGTTATATAAATGTGTGCGGGTGTGTACCAGTATGTACGGAGAGTGGGAAGTGTGTACGTATTATAATAAACACAACAGCAACAACAACAACGCTACACCAAGTATGCGAAAACCACTGACTCTTGGTAGTCAAAGAATGGGAAAAAGGTCGCAGGATGATAATTCGATTATCCGGGCAGGTGAGCCGGTTTATCGTGCACGGTTGTTCGTTTGTTCGAACCACTTTGAATGCAAATGGCGTCCAAGTCACGATAACCAATATCGCTAAGCGGGCGTGGCGGGCGGGCTTGATCGGGAGGATTCTTTTCTTGGTACTGTACGTGTTCGGTTCGGTTGTTATTGTTGGAATCTCGGTATCCAAGTACGAGACTCGGTTAATGCAGGTGAGATGCAGGTGCGGTGATGTGATGATGATATACGAGCTCAAGGGGGTACCGAGACCGCAGAGTATATGAGTATATAACAGAGGCAATGAGGACGAAATATGTACAAGTATACCCCTCCAAGGAGATAAGAGAGACGGCAAGAGTATCAATTCAGAGTAGACGAGATATGCAATATATCAAATACCTTGTCGACGACTGAAAAAAAAGCCAATGCGGCACCCTTGCCCTTTATATATACTTATTTCCTCTTTTTTCCTTCGCCTCCCTCCTCCCTCCAGGCTGTGTCGAAACGGAAACGGGAACGGTTCACCTTGGACTTGCGCTGCACCTCACATCACATCACCTCATCATCCGGCGTGCCTCCCCCCGCTAGTTAGCTGATGCGACCCAGGCGGTGCGGAGACGACATGCTTGCTCACAACCCAACCCAACGGACTACGCCTCCGTCCAGCTGGGAAAGGGACGCTTGGGTGGAGACAACAAGACTCCAAAGTGGGGATAGGGAAAGCGGAGACATGCGTCTGAGGCGTGCAGCGTAACGTAACGTAACGTAACGTACCATGTGCTGGTACATACTTACGTCGGCCCTGGTGGGAGAACAGAACAGCGGCGTGTGTGTGTGTGCCTGGATGCCATAGCTCATGGTCCCGACATGGATGTGATGCAGGGTTTAACCAACGCCGCCTTGCCTGTACCATACATTTTTCTGACTTACCCTTACTCCCCCGGCTCCAGCGTCGTTCAAACGTGGTCTAGCTGATTTCTATATCTGTTATCGGCGGCCTGTGTTGGCCTGGCGCGCGATATGACAGCCGGTGGGCTGTGTGGCCCGTAAGTGAAGTGCGGTGAGGTCCGGTGCGGTTTGCGGAGCGGTGCTTGCCCTGCTTGCCCCGTTTGTTGTGTGCGTGCGTGCGTGTGTGCGGTGCTTGTTTTCGTTGGTGTCTCGTAAGTTTTCGAGAACATGTGTTGGAGCAGGGGGGGGAACATGCATCTTCAACCTTGTAGCCTTGCAATAACGAGGGACTATTCACTAATTTTGCCGGGTCGGCACATGGGACTTGTGTAACACCTGTCTTGTGTCGTTGAGACCTGTAATGTCAGACTTCCTGCTTGTGCTGATTGAACGTAGGTAGCTGTCAGACAATTACCGACGATCTTTGCTTAGCCGTTGCGGAGAAACAAGTAGCCTAGCAGTTGACGTGATCTCACACCCCTTCTCAAAGCTGGCAGCTAGATCCGAGAATTTAGACGCCAGCCCGCTTTAGTCCATCGCTCTCTTCTTCCGCCCTACGGGCATTTGGTTCAATATCAGATCTGCAGGGTCCTTCTCGTATCGCGCGCGTTCTAGAGTAGTGCAGCCACTTTGCTCATACAGCACGACTAGATTAGACCGATCCTCTGGGCCGTCCGGCTAGCGCAACACGGGGTGGAGGAGATAAGGCTTCGACAGCAGCGTATGTGAGTATGTACGTCGGCAGATCAGCTTAGTGACGCCCGCCGCTCGCGCAGATGCAGGGAAGTGGAAGGCAAGCAATGTACGTATTTCAAGGGCTCCCCTCTCTTGTTTCTAGTATTTAGTTAGTAGTTACTGTAAAAATGTAATCTCATTAACTAGCTTATAAATTAGCTAGTTAACTAATCTTTTTTCTTTTTCTCTCTCTTTATACTATCTCTAAAATAGTACTTAATAGAGCTTCATATTTTTAAGCTTTTCACGCTAGTATTTTCTTCTTAAAAAATAATAATAGGTTTAAATTTCTAAGAATATATATTTATTTAGGTTGATAGTAGGGTTTAAGCGAGGGCTCGAAATTCAGGTTTAGATTTGGATATTTAGTGGGAGCCCGGGTTACGCGGATGCCTAGCTTGTACTAGTCTCACATCAACCATCCGTCCGAAACGACCCAAAAAATACGCAAACAAGACGTGCGCCGAAAAAAAAAGTCACAAATGTGATGGAAGTGACGGGCAACATTGGCAAACGCAGCGCGGGAAAGCGTGGCGAGCACAAAAGGAGGCCAGGTAAGCAAAAGGTATCAGGATGCATCTTGGCAGTGTATTAGCTTCCGCTCGTACTGTGGGTACAGGTGCATGGTGGGCCAAGCGTACCGCGGACCTTTGATTGGAAACACAGATGCGGTGCATGGGAAACGGGTCTGAGACTCTGCATGACGGATCGGCCGCTGGGATGGCTGACATATGGACTGGGGGTGGGCAAAGTAAGTAAGCCAAATTCGAACAAAAAAACGCTCCCTATTACCTTTGCTTTCGCGGTGCCACGGTCGATACGATGGCGCTGCACTCTCCGGGCCAAGTCTAAAGACCGAGTCCGGCCTCTTGTGCTTGATAGATGCGCATGTAGATGTGCATGTGCATGTCATCGGTGCCGTGCGCATGTCATCTGGCGCGACTAAGTAAGCTCGGTACTGGCACTGACTGTCCTTCAGCCAGCCTCGACTGCTGTCATGTCATCTTCAACACGCGCCTCGTCGTCGCTGGCTTAGCCTCATCGCCTTTCCTTCTCCGATTGACCGACCGGTGAACGGGCATCGGCGCCTTATCGGCGACGATGCACAACATCATGTGTAGGGTGTAGTAAGTCGTAGTCGTAGTCGTAGTCGCAGTTTGTAGTATCAACTGCATGCAGGTAGGGTAAATGTACCAAGCGCATGGGAGTAGACAGTCCCCAAAGCGAGAACGTCAGTCCGGTGGTGAAGTCAAGGTAAACTTCTCAACCTTTGGGAAAGGATCGACCATGCGATAGTAAGTAGCTTGGTCTTTGCTGTCTTCGCTTATTTTGGGATCTTGGCTGTTGTCGTGCGTGCATGCGTTTATTCCTATCCTAGATGGGAAGGAGATGCGCGGGGTCTTCGCCCACCGTACAGTAGATACATGGACGTGAAGCGATACGGTATGTATGCATATTGCCTGCGCACTGGGAATACGAGGCTGGTCGAGACCCTTTGTCCCAATTCTCCCGTTAACCGAACGCGAACCATAGCGGGGTTTATGCCCGCTATGAGTGCATAATGTATTGTATGTATGCAGACAACTGTATGTATGCAAACGTGTGCACTATACGAAGCTGCTGTTGGGAACTGTAATGCACATAATCAAAGCAACACCACCTCTCGCCACATACCCATAGAGAGTAGGCGTCTAAGTTGGGTACAATACGTCAGTCGCTCTGACTAACGTCCGAAGTTTAACTCCACAAAACTCAATCCCGCATCCTCTGACTTGACCACACACGGCTCCGCACCATGAACAACCTCCTCGTCCTCCTCCTCCATCTCCTCCCCGCACCTCTCGTGTAAAAAAAACTACTCAAAATACGAGCACCGACCTCGGCAGTAGGAAAACCAAGAGCCACCAGCCCAATCTCGTACCAATCTCACCCACGTGTCCCCTGCACCGAGTCAGACGCACCCCTCACCCAGCCAGCCCTACCGTACGCCCAGAAGCGCCATGCTGTGCGGCGCTCAACTCCCATCCTACATCCGGCACCAGATCTACATTCCGATAAAGACGATCCCATCTTTCTCGCTTCCAGACCCAAAACCTAGTTACCTTACCCAACCGCCACCGGGGGTGAGTGACCTGCATGTTTTTTAGCTCGTCAGGTTTGCCCGCCGCCCCCGCCGCCGCTGCCATGTGATGAGATGTGATGAGATGGATCTAAGCTGTAGGTACCTACCTAACCTGGAGTTTTGCACGCCCCGGATGCCTGGTCCACAAAAATCCAGTGACGTTCATGACCAAGAGTCTGTTCGGTACGGTTACCTACCTGCTCCCATCGGAGGTTTTCGGGCTACTAGGTCTTTGGGTGGGAGGCCTACACACTACATACCTTGGTATGACATGCTACTACGGCAGGATCTGCCCACATCGTCGCGGACGATTTATGCACGAGCTGCGCGTGTTTACCGCTTTCGCAGGGCAGGCGGGCGGGCATAACGCGACTGGTGGGGAGATAAAAGCCGTGATTCGGCGTACTGCAGGTGTATGATTCTTCGCGGCCCATGGAGATATGAGTGGTGCCACGAGATGTTTTTACTGCGAGGTGTCTCGTGGACTGAGAAGTGGAATCTTTTCTACAGTTGGTAGGTACTTCCATGGAGAAAGTATTGATTTTGTCGTATTCGTATTTACTCGGAGTCTCTGGATGCGAGGCTAGTGTCGTACGCTTGCTGAAGTGGGTATGTGTGACGTTACGAAGTAATCGATAGGGATGGGTATGTTGCTTTATCTTGTGTTCATGAAATCGCCATGGGTTTTGTTCTACTGCATCTTGGCCTCCGTATCTCTGCGGTCGGTGTGGCGGATTGCATCGTCGACTCCAACACTCTCCCTCATCGTTGACACAAACAGAATACCAATTCTTCACCTCTCATCCCTAGTCTAACCCCCCCCCCCCCCCCAAAACCCTATTCCCTCGTCATCAACTTCCCGTCCCTTTGTCATAAACGACCACCATCACAGTCAGCATCCATCGCGATCCCCATCCCATCCCCTCCTGATTTCCACGTCTCCACAACATGTCGATCAAGGGTCCACAGCCCCAAAACCTTATTCCGATGCAATCTGCGCTTTCTCGTTACCCATGCACCGCATAACGTCTTCCGGTGGCAAAATAAACTTCTTTAACCTTAAAACTTTAATCTGAGGAGGTGTCTTTGCCACTTCTCGTTGACTTTCCGTTATGGAGCTCAACAACCGGTCAACGCGGTGACAGCACAGCAAACGTACACCGGAACCATAGTTCCGGGTGCGATGCAGATGGCTTATCTATGATATCGATAGTATTGTCGGTGAGCGGTCCTTGTCGTGTTGTGAGTTTTGCGTCCTGCGGGCGGTTCTGATGAAAGGTTTCGTGGCGGTGGTGGTGTGCTGGCTTTTTGGGCTGCACTGCTTGTAGGAAGCTGAAATTGCTGCCACAACATAGACACGGCATTAGTGGTGATTCTACTGACTCGAGTTATAAGTCAGTCAGCTGTGCCATAACGCGAGACGACGATTTCATGGCTAGTCAACATGCTATAGGATTGCACTGCGTGGCTGTCTGGCTTCCAAATCAGCACGCCCGACATCTACATTTTGATTGATCAAAACAGAAGACATCCATTCTTAGACACCCTACGCACTTGCAATTAATGGTAAAACCCACAGTCTAACCTCACTCCACAAAATCACCTGTGCGTAAGTGTATCCAACAAGGCCGTCGCTGGCACCAAACACATCAATCTTTCCATCTCACAATCTGCATTCCCATTCCCATTCCCATCTCAATCCACCTTCTTCATCCCTTCCAAGCCCTCCACCCCAAGCGAAGACCCACCTTTCGATCTCCGCCTATCTTGCTTTTCCCACACCCCTCCCGCCGCACCTACCCGCCGCCGTAAAAGCGGAAAAAGAACTTCTCCAACGTTTCACCATACAACCTGCAACACCACCAGAAGTGCTTGTCACTAGAAAACTAATGTTTCCACATTAGGGCAGTTAGCATAATGCCACGTGAGGATAAGCAACATCAGCGAGCGGGAAGAGCGATCGCGATCGCGGTTGATGGACGGGTAATACGGCACTTGCAGGTTTGTGATGGGGAAAAGCAGATATAGAGGGTGAGGATGGGAAAGTTTGCTTAGGGGGAGGTGGAGGTAGGGACTTTGACGGACGACCTCGGGGGTAAGGAGATAATGTTGGTGGGTAGAGAGATTAGGGTATACTGTGATATAGACTTGGAGTGAAATATCGATGCAGTGTGGGCATAGCGGAGGAAGGGACTTAGTAAAGAGATGTAAGATTAACCTCTCTACCTTTACACATTCCAACCCCCCACAGATCTCTACATCCCTCCCTCATTCACACCCAACCTACGTACAATACTTGATATATAACAACTCTTACAATCCGAATTCCCAAAATGCCTAGTCTTACACCTATTCTGTACCTAAATATTAGCACTCTCTCTCTCTCTCTCCCTCCAATCCCACAAACAAATATTCACTCACACAAACGCCTCCGTGGCAGAATTTATTCGCACCAGAATTACCGCTGCAGGGATCTTTGCCCTCGAGCTCGATAATGTGCTGGCAGTTGTTTTGGCGGGTTGCAATACATGCCCTTGGGGGCTTTTGTCAGTTAGGATGGATGGAAGAGACGATTTCTTCGCAGGGGGGGAGGGAGGTTACAGGTACGTCGCCTTCACGGCGGTTTATTGGTTTGCCGCACCAGGCGGAGGCGAGGGCGATAAGGTAGAGGGTGCTGAGGACGTGAAAGTAGAGTTTTATCTCGAGGAATCTTCACCTTTACAGTACTAATTCGGCTACTTAAACAGGACTTATCGTATCAACAACTACACATCTTTTAGCAAAGAAACCCCTAATCTACCGCGTTAGAAACTCGATGAGTCTATCTTACCCGCGCAAACCTTGGTCTATACATCATCTCAGCTTACATCATCCCCTCCTTACAACTACATCCCCGAAATCCGCTTATCACACCCCTACCCTGCACACTTACAACCCTTTATTCAAAGTATTTGTCGCTCTGCATAAAACTTCCACACACTTATTCGCCTAATCATTCCTAGTTTAAACTGGGGGTTTCGCAACACCTTCTTTGGACTCACAGTCGGGCCGATGAGAAGGATTTAAAAATGGGGTCGTTTGATAGACAACTGAAGGAGCGGAAGAGGGTAGAGATCACCTCTGGAATTTTTGCTCTTAGCATTTTTGCCTGAATACATGCTGAGGGTGGTGGGATTGTTACTGGGGTTCGAGGGAGGGATGTTACTGTTGGGTAGGCTGAGGTGGGTCGAGGTCTTATGGTATGATAATGAATGGGTATTTGTGTATTGAGACTAAGCTGTGGTATGTGTCGCATATGCTGATTACGCGATGATGTTATGTACATAGAGTTTTTGTGTTGAACTTAAGCTATAGGCGCTGTCTAGATTTTATTTGAAGTTTCTGCGAGTTGGAAAAGTGAAAGCTATATAGAGTTCGTTACGCAGGCTGACACCCTCTACTGTCTAAACATCATCGCGACGGCGACTTAGTCCTGGAATCAAGGCACTCCCTCTCCTACAGGTTAGAGGTTCTCCTCGACCGCAAATTTGCTGCACTGATGTAATTTTCTGAAGTCTTTTGGGTGCGGTAGCTTTGGGTGCCAGGGCGTTGATATCAAACTTGAATACAGTCGCCATGATAGCCATAATCTCTCCGTCACTATAAGCGATATTTCTTCGTTTTGATGGGGTACGCCAAGGGTGGGCGTTTGGAAACATTGTGTGTTATAATTTTGGTGGAGGCTTTCATACTCCCCGGTGACTCACAATTCCAATGTGCGCGCGAAGAAAATGGTACCATGGTACAGTCAACCGCATTGGGACGACCTCCAAAAACCCCACTCCCAAATGATAACAAACGAGGATAGGGAACGAATTTGATACCGTCACCTAACAGAACTTCTGGAGGCTTTCAAACTTGGTTCAGGGTCGAGTTGAAGCTGTAATCGTTGTGTCGTGAGCAAAATTAAAATCTTGCTCTATCATCCTGCATCGCTACATGACTGGTTTCTGATCACGGACAACGATCACCTGCTACATGATCGACTTTGTGTGTTTGCCTTACGTCACTCTTAAATAGAGAAGGTGCCCCCCCGCACAAGCATACAACCTTCAAGGTCATCGCCGAGACCTTTCCTCTCACCCACACCAGCAACGCCGAGATTGCAAGAACTGCCTTCATGTAGAACTGGTAGCTTTTTCATCTCTATCACCACCTCTGCGATACGGTACGTTCTAGCGCATTCTTGAAGGGGCATTTGCCTTGTTTATATCGCGGCGGTGTGGATCGAAAACACAGAATGCGCTACACAGGTGACATACCATACTTGAGAGTGTGGCTAAGCACCTAGGAGGCGACTCTGGAAACTATAATGGACTTTTTGCACTGATATGTCAAGAATTTCATGCCACCCAGGTGGCGCGAGCAATTGAGATTGCGCGAAATGAACAACCCGGAGTAAGATGTACCTATGCTCAGGCCTGACATTCCATAGAAGACACGACACCCACAGCAAGACTTCACCCCGCCAGCCTCGATACCCCCAACATGCAGATGACCCGAGCACCCGTCCCTACCA